GCAAAGCCTAAGATATGGTCTTGCCCCATGAACGGGACAAAGGCTTCTCACTGAAGTTACACCAAAGATTTTGCGTGGAAATTATGCGGCCAACAATTAAAGCAATACATTTTCCTCTTTCATTTTTTATGACTCGAGTCCTGGTGATTAATGCCATGACTGGGAAGTCTTTATGGCCTCTTTCTCCTTAATGCTTCCTCCACATCAAATTATAATTATTTGTAAAATTTTTATATGTAAATGTAAGTGATATTATTAAGTAATATACGAACTTGTAATTAAATTTTGTTTTATTTTGTATGTAATTATTTTGAATAATTTTGTTTAATAACAAAATTTTCATTTGCTGTTGATATATCATTAAAAAAATATCTAAAATTGCATTCAAAAAGTCAATAAAATAGTTAAATTGGGACTGACGGAAAAGCACCATTTGCTTGCAAGACTAGCCGAACATTTTTCTAAAGTCAAGAGTCAACATTAGTAGGAAGTTGCCGTGTATTTGGGTCATTTCATTTTAGTCTTTCCACTGATTAATGCCGTGTATTTGGGTCATTTAATTTTAGTCCTTCCACTGATTAATGCCGTGTATTTTTTTTTTTTTGTTTTCTGAACAATATTACGTGGAGCGGGGTTGAACCCTGCCCAGGGGGGTAGGGAATGCATCGGTGGTCGGAGACCACTTGGCCCAGGGCCGGATGCAGATTAATGCCGTGTATTTGGGCCATTTCATTTTAGTCTTTCATTTCATTTTAGTCTTTCCGCTGGTTAATGCCGTGTATTTGGGACATTTCATCTTAGTCTTTCCACTGGTTAATGCCGTGTATTTGGGTCATTTCATCTTAGTCTTTCCAAATGCCGTGTATTTGGGACATTTCATCTTAGTCTTTTCACAGATTAATGCCGTATATTTGGGTCATTTAATTTTAGTCTTTCAAACTTATTAATACTCTTGACGTGCGCACTTGGCCATTGTGGCCTAATAGATAGTGTCATTGAAAAAGTGCATATCCCTTTCTTTCTGGTGAGTTTCGAACTCGTCCCATGATAAAATGTTCAGAAAAAAAAAAAAAAAAACTAAACTCTTGACGTGCAACATGTGTCCAGATAATGTTACATATTAATAAATATTATTTTGTTAATGTCATATAAATATTATTTAGTTTAATTAATATTTTATTAATTTATTATAATTTTTTAAATAATTTTTTTACATTTTTACGTTTTTTTCTTTAATTTTTATATTTTTCATATTAATTAATATAAAAATATATATTAATTCTTAACCTGTATTTTAATAATATAAATTAAATAAATCGTACTTGACCCTTGAGGTCTAGTGACGATAGTCACCTCAGCGCATTCCTCCCTCCTTGGGCTGGATTCGAAACCGCCCCTTGCATATATGTTCAAAAAATATATATATATATATAAATTAAATAAATCTTATTATTATTAATCATAACCATATCTGGTGCACTATTTCCGTATCGACTCTTATCCTGCGCCCCCTTCACTCCTTG